AAGAGGATTCACCTGAGACAGAATGGGGGAGCAGAACAGTGGATCTTCTGAAACACACTGCTGAGGGGAGCAGCAGGTGAGACAGGAGAGGTCTGTTTCATGTGGGTCAGCTCCCTGGCACGGTTCGATCTCAGGTGTGGCAGGTGATCGCTTGGTAGTACTTAGACTTAATCATGCACAACCAGGGAAGCCCTCATAGGTTAATTTCTCAATCACATTTCATGTATTTTACAGGTAAGCTGTGGCTCTGCTCCACCTGGGGGCTAAGTTGGGGAGCACCCCCAGCTGGGATTTGAGTTACTGAGCCAGGGAAAAGAGCACTGGCCAGCTGTGCATGGCCACTCTCTCTCCGCTGGCTCTGAGGTGGCACATGTCATTTCCACCTATATTTCATTTGCCAAAGCATGTCAGATGGTCACACCTGACCTCAGAGGGCGGGGGACAGCCGTTCCTTGGAAGGGACACTTAGGATGTGTCCCTGTAGGCCTGTAGAACATGTATTGTGTATTTTAAATCATACAGCCTACCATAAACACATTTTTAAAAAAGTATTAATGATTTACTTTCAAGTATTTACAGGGAACCATTGGCTGTTGGGGTTTTCATAGAAACAGTTCCACTGAATGTCTAAAGTGCTGTACGAATGCAGCATGTTCCTAAATGTTCTCCTTGGTGCTTCCTGAGCCAAGTGGTACCTATGGGCTGAGCAACTTCCTCATCTGTTACCAGTGAGAAAAAGGCATCTTTGCAGATAAACTGTGAGAAAATACAGAGTGTATTATGTCCCATGTTAATGAAGTACAGAGATGTGGGGAAAGTTCTGTGAATGCTAACGTGTGACTTCAGCAGAAGCAATGACAAACAGGAAGAAAGACTGGAGCTGGGGGCCAGAATCTCTGCCAGTCTTGGAGGAGGAACCCCAACATAGGAAAGTTAGCAATTACTCCAGGTCACCCCAGTGAAAGTGTCCGAGAAAGAACTTAGGTCTTCTCTGCCCCAAAGTTCATAGTTTTTCTTGTTCCCAATAGTGGCTACCCAAAGGAAAGGCAGGTGCAGCACAGAGATATTGAAGAAACAATTGAGAAGGGGGATAACAGGAGAGAAAGAGGGAGGTGAGAGAAGAATTAGACAAAAAGACTAAAAGTGAAAAAAAGAAGGAAGAACACAGTGGCAGAATGTCGATCTCTGAATTCAAGATTTACTATAAAGCCACAGTAATCAAGACAGTACAACATCGGTGAAAGACCAGTGAAAGTACAATGGTTAGCAGAACAGAGAGCCTCTGCGTAGGCCCACACAGAGTCAACGGGTCACTGGCAAATGAGCGAGGACAATATGATAAAGAAAAGATAGTCTTCTCAATAGGTGGTACGGGAACAGCTGGATGCCCACATGCAAAACATTGAATCCATCCAGTCACAGACTCGCTCTTGTCAAAAATTAACTCAAAATGGATCTAAATTAAAATGCAAGTGATAGGGCCCTCCCTGGTGGCGCAGCCGTTTAAAGCACTGCACTGAGAGGCTTAAGCCACTTCCGCATGAGTTCGATTCCCGCCTGCCCCGGAGGAGATCTACATGGCGAGGCAGACTCTCCTGACCCACCTGCTGCTCCCCTCAGCAGTGTACTTTGTCAATTGGCCTATTCTGCTCCCCACTCTGTCCCTGGTGAATCCTCTCACCCTCCGCATCTCCGGCCTGTACCCCAGTTCTGTATGAAGAAATAGATCTTTAAAAAAAATGCAAGTGATAAAACACCTAGAGGATAACATAAGAGGAAATCTAAATGACCTTGGGTTGGTGGTGTCTTTAGCTGCAACGCCAAGAGCACAATGTATGAAAGAAAGAAATAAAAAATCTCTACTCTGTTAAACTGCCAAGAGGATGGAAAGACCAGCCACAGCCTGGGAGAAGATACATGTGATAAAGGACTGTTAGCCAAAATCTGCAAGGAACTCTTAAGCTCAATAATAAGAAGATGATCAGATAAAAAATGGACCAAACAACATGTCAATAAGTTCATGAAAAGATGCTCATCATCACTAGTCATCAGGGAAATATAGATGAAAACCTCAACAAGATGGTACTTCCTGCCACAATGGCTACTTTCAGCTAGGATGTGGAGAAAGGAACTGTTGATGGAATGTAAGCTTGTAGCTACTCTAGAAAACAGTATGGAGACCCTGCAAAAAATTAAAAATAGTTGTCATGTGATATAGCAACCCCACTTCTGGGTTAATATTGGAAAGAAATGAAATCACTACTTGATAGTTACTTCCCCATGTTCACTGCAGCATTATTTTCAACAGCCAAGACATGGAAACAACCTAATTTTCCACTGATAGATGAATGGATAAAGAAAATGTGTTTAACACACAAAATATTACTCAGCCTTAAAATGGGGGAAATCCTGTCATTTGCAACAACATGGATGGGCCTTTGAGAGCATTATGCCAGGTGACGTAAGTCAGACAAATGCTGTATGATCTCATAAATGGAATCTTTGAAAAAAAGAAAAAAGCCACACTCACAGAAACAGAATAGGTTGCCATGGGCTGGGAGTAGGAAGGGAGAAAGGGAGATTGCTCAAAGTTTACAAGCTTCCAGTTATGAGTAAATTTTGGAGAAATATGTATCATGGTAACTATATTTAACAATAATATAATAGACACTCGCTAGTTGTTAAGAGAGTAAATCTTAAATGCTCTCAACACACACACACACGCAAACTGTAACCATGTGGGGAGATGGATGTGTTAGTCTTTTACAACATATACAGGCATCAAATCATCGTATTGTATAAACTTAATATGCCAGTTATGTCTCAATAAAGTTGGAAAGTAAAACAGGACAAAAATATGGTGACAGATATCTCACAAGGAAGCTGTGCAGATGGCAAATAAGCATATGGAAAAAATGCTTCATGTCATATATCATTAGGGAATTGCACATTAAAATAACTAGACACACCTACCACAATGGTTGAGTGCTAAAACATTGACAACACTAAATACTGGTGAGGAAGGGGCTCCACAGAAACCCTCAGTTTTTGCTGGTGGAAATCAAAATGGTACAAACACTTTGAAGGGCTACCTGGCAGTTTCTTACAAAACTCAACATACTCTTCTAAGACCAGTAATCCTATCCTCAAAGGAGTTGAGTAAAAAAGATCAGTGGTTGCCAGAGGTTATGACAGAGGGAGGAGGGATGAGTAAGTCGTGGCACAAAGGATTTTTAGGGAAGTGAAAGTATGCTACCATACCATAATGATGGGTATATTTCATTGCACATCTCTCCAGTCTCATAAAACTTACATCAAGAGTGAACCTTAACCCTTTGGGTGATAATGATTTATCAAGGTGAGCTCATCAGTTACAACAAAAGAGTGAGCTGAGCACATGTGGGAGCAGGGAGTTGATGGGCAATCTCCACTTTCAAGTTTGCTATGAACTTAAAGCTGCTTCAAAAAATAAATTCTACTGCATAAAAGATGTCAAAATAAGTAAGTTAAACAATAAAACGAGGAAAGCTAAACAAAATTGGCGAAAGACTTTCACCTTGATAGGCTTCAAAGTTCACTTCAAGTCACTTCCATTTTCGGGTTGGACCGGTTAAGCAAAACTGCCCAGAGGCCACGCACGCCCCCTGCAGGTTGGAAGGGGTGACGGAGAGGGGTGACAGGAGGTTTCAGCGAACAGCACCGGGGAAATTGCCTGGAAACTCTTAAAAAGTCAAAGCTCTGACTCCACTGCACACTAGCTCACTTTCCGGAGGCAGCACCCAGGGTCGAGCTGAAAAGTGGTTCCTTCTGCTGTGCAGCCGGGCCTCACGGTGCCGTGAGAACCCGGGAGTGGGGTGGGTTGGAAGCGTGAAGTCAGGATTGGGGGAGAAAAGGGAGCTTTCCCGAAAGAAGGACGTGCCCCACACTGCACCACGACTCCCCTTCCCCCCAAACCCCCGGGCGGTGGTACTCTTGAGAGCCGCTGGCCCGAGTGCCACGCAGTCAGCAGCTTTCAAGTCAGGACATTCTTGGGGGTGTCAGGACACCTTTTGGGGTGTTCCAAAGGCCGGCGCGCCAACCGTCTTCCCCGGGGTAGAGAGAGCAGGGCCAGGGCGTGTGCGCCGCAATTCGGGTTGTAGTCGGGGTCCCCGCGAGCCCCGCCCGTCTCCGACCAGTCGCAGCACCCGGCCCGGACACCACCCGCCAGCTCTAGTCGAGAAGGGCTTTGTCTCTGTCCCCCTCGAGTGCCGCCACGCGGGCGACCACACACTTCCGACCCCCCGCGGGTGACGCGGGAACGATGGAGCGACCGCGTATTCTGCGGAGGAACTTCTTTCTCCACGCGCCTGTCTGGCCGCCTTTAAAAAGAAAATCAAGGCGCCCGAGGAAGATGAGCCCAGAAAAGCGGGGCGCCGGCACAGGCTCCCTCTCGCGGTCGTCTCACCCGCCCCGGCCCCCTCGGCGCCCCCACCCGCCGGGCCGCAGTGAAAGCCGGGGACACAGGGGGGACACAGGCGCGAAGGGCGGCTCCCCGCGCCCGGCCGCACTCCTCCTCCCCTTCGCCCCAGCCAGCACCCAAGGCCGCCCCGCACTCCCCATCGCTCGCCGCTCACTCCCTGGGCGCGGAGGGGGCGCCGGAAGCGCGTCTG